GTTTGCTCTACTTAGCGTATTGAGCACTTTGCTTAGTTTTACTTTACTCATGCTGGAGGTTTTTTTTTTTGACTCTGAACTTAAATTCAAGACGATTATTTTTGCCGGAAGTGTGTGTTCTTAGTTCTTTCTTTTTTTACCCTTTTTTTTCCTTGAGTATTGGTTTGTTCATTTACAAGCTAAAACACCTAAGGTTTTGCCAGACGAGTATAGCTGCTTATATTTATAAGATGATTAGTATTATATATATATATATATATATATATTTCAGAAAGTTGGCCAAGCTGAAAATTTTTCAACACTTCCTCATATTGCATAATCAGTGCATATATATAATTATATAAGCATCAAAATAATTATATATACACAGATAAATACTAGATTGGCAACTAGATATGATCATTTTACAGTTCAAATTTCAAGATGTAACTGTAAGTTCTATGTCAACAGTTTCTTCTCTCACACTTCTTGACAATTCTCATCTAACTTCTTACCTTCCAGTCAACATTTATCTTCAAAAAATTAAATTTAATGCCAGTCATTATCTACTACAATTACTTTTCTTTTATTGTCCCCTCTCTTTAATAATGTTTCCCTTTTTTCTTGGATTCTTTCACCCATTGTGTCTTAGTGGTTTTATTACCTTACTTGGAGTGAAATGGTTAAAAAAGAAGGTTTGGAAAATTTTTTAGGCTGATCAGGATGTCATTTCAAAAAAGAAAACTCTGATGTTTGACCAATTGGTCAGATCTTTGTAAAGTAGGTCAGGCTGAGAACTTTTCAACACCTCTTATATAGGATCAACCAAAAGATAATTTTGCTTTGTATTGATAGATGGCATTAGAGACATTTTTTTTTTTATCTAACTTCATTTAAATTTATAGCTGCTGATTGCATTTAACAACTGTCATATTATTGCATTTTTTAAGAAATATTGTCAAATGTGTATTTTTTGTTGATTGTAATATTGCAGAAACAGAAATATGTAACTGAAACGTAAAGAATATTCGTGAAGTTTATGGAGAAGGTTCTGCAAATGACTCAACATGTGAAAGGTGGTTTGTGAAAATTCATGCTAAAGATTTCTTCTTGAACAATATTAGAGGTTAATAGCAATCAAAACTTAGACATAACTTGAAAATAAACTCTAAATAGGACTGGAGAATGTCAATAGGCTTGAAATATCTAAAAGTTGAAAATAATTTGCCCCATTTTGGTTATGAGCCACATTGATGTGTAACTTCAATATCAGTGAAAATAAAACTGACTGGGTAATATTTAAATTTTCTGTTTTTGAAACAAAATCTCATGACCATCTTGTGAGCTGGGTGAATTTGAGGAATACAGTGAGAATCAAGCTCAGTAGTAAGGGTCAACCAGACTAAAGTTTGATTGGGTGATTTAAAGTTGAATTTTTTATAGAGTACCCAGTGAGTATCAGACTCACTACTCAGTAGTAATAAGTAACAAGTCTAGATTAGCTAAACATTACCTGTTGGAATTTTTGGGTACCCCAGTGTACTAGTGAGCCAGCCAAAATGAGCTGACTCATTTTATAGTTCACCAATAGAAGGGTTTACCAATCAGAAGGCTCAAAATATTCAATGTGACGTGTATAAAGGGGGCCATGTTTTTCCCAAATATTCACTGCCAGCCTTTGATATCGAAGACTGAAGAATTACGGAACAGCTGCTGGTGGTATTGGTGATATAGTCAGATTCAGTAGAGTGTCTGACTCATGAGTGTTAATCTTTAATGTTGTTTCATTGAACAGATTACGTACTGCACTGTATTCTATATTCCTAGGCTATGGTGAACATGGTCAACATTACCAAATGCTAATGTATCCCTAAACTCATTATTCTTTACAGTGGCTCCAATATGTTTTTTTTTTTTTTGTATCTATGCATAACCTACTGGTCAAATGATTGCAGCATAACATAGATTCTGATTTCTTTAACTCTATTATTCTCCAATGCTATTTCTTTTATATAATTTAAATTTTCCATAGAATTTGATATCCACCCTTTTCTCTTAACATATAAAGCAATACTTGATTTTAAAGTTTCTACATGGGTTAATTTTCTAGTGTTTCTCAAGTTTCACCAAATTCATGAACCAACATTTTAATATAGTAGGCTATTGTCTCATGGAACAATAGTCCAGTAGATTAAAGTGTTGCGATAACAGCAACAAAGATGAGGACAATAGTCTGCATGTAAATAATGTAAAAAGAACCAACTATTAATTTAAATAATGTAACCTCAACTATTATTGTGATCTACTTTCAATAAGTGATTATAGTCAACCTAATTACAGCATCCTGGGTAAGATGATAAATGACAAGGCCTTTCATCAGGAGGTTTTGAGGAGTGTGGAACCACCTCTTAATTTCTGGCCTTTCCAAGTCCACCCTGACCCAGGATGGTAGCACCTGTCAGGGTCCCAGCTATAGGTAAATAGTTAACCCCCCCACAAAGGGGTCAAAACACAATGAAAGTATAAAAATGTCTTTAAAAGTACTTTAATACCAGCAATACTTTTTTGGAAAAAATATCAGCAATACATTGTTACAAGCAATTACTTTTGAAAAAAGAAAATATTACCAGCAATACTTTTTAGGAAAAAAAAATTTACCAGTAATAAAAATCTTGTCATCATTAACCAACCGATTGATGTTGATATACCGTAAAACAAACCAAACCAATCAACCTAATTACAATTAATGGTAGATAAATTAGTAAGAATAATTAATTTAGGATAATCTGATTGTTCAAATAAGGCCTGAACTGTACTTGTCAAAATGTTGTGATTATTTTAGTCAAGCTTATTTCATTTAGTCAATTGTTTTTATTCAGTTCCTGCTGACAATGAAAAAACTTGCTTTGTGATCCCTTTGAAGAATATATAAGCCAAGTTTCTAGACCAGACAAGCCAGGAAGGAGAAGGAGCAGCAGCATACTGCAACAGATTCACAACACCATAGCTTAAAAGAGATTCCCTTACTTATTCACCCATATTCCTCATCAAGCTATGTGACACACTTTCCTTTTCACTTTCTCCCTTTTTTTTTTCACAGATACAAGTGAAGAAATCACATTTCTTTTCATCTTAACAAATGGCTACAAACAAGAACTTAAAGAACTTTAATACTCGTATGCACAAAGAAAAATTTATTTATAAAAACATGAAAATAAAAATATTTTATATTTAAACACCGTTCTCACCTTTTTGTTGTGGGTTGATTCAAATCTGCAACAAAATTGTTAACTCTGACATGATCGATTCATTAATTATAAGAATTTAGATGAGGGGGTGGTAAAATTCAGCAACTGCATTAAATACAAGCATTAAAATCAAACGACAAGAAAGAATAACAAAACATTTTTATAATTAATGTAAAGAGGTAAATCAAAAAACAAAAAAGAATAAAAAACATTATACATAATTAATATATAATCATTACAGGCTGTTAACATTCTGACCTAAAAGCTATTCCTTTTGCTTACATAGGGAGGGCTGAAAGGACTTAATTTATATAGTCATTAAGACATTTAGGTAGTAAATCAAAAGAGTCTTGGTTATAGGATTGATCACACTGATGGTTATTTAATGAATGCCCTGTCATTGCTAACCCAGATGTATTGATGCACCTATGTAAATTATCACAATTTCCTTTTCAAATATTGATTTATTTTAAATTCCAATCTCTGATTTGTTCTGCCTATACAGTCAGCCTCACACTGACACTTTAAATAATTAATTGCAAAATATGGTAAAGAGGTTGAACATCTTTTCCTATTGATCTTAAAATTGATTGAACAATAAAAACAATACATGGATTGGCAGATGAATAATAATTTTTCACACGAGCAGAAATTTGCTAAGCAAACACTAATCCAAGGTATATGTAAATAGACAAGCCACCTTTAGGAGCCAATTAAATTGATTTTTTTTATTGCAACATTTTAACATGAATATTAGACTCCACAATAAGGAAGTTTTTTTGTCTTTTTTTTTTTTCAGTTTACTTCTTTATGGAAGCTATAAAAAAGTTTTCATTACTTCTTTCCTGCTGTTTGATTTTAATGTCTGTTTTTATTGCAATTAATTAGAGATATATATCAGAAGTAGATATGTTTCCTACTCTTTCTAAAAACATATTCTTTTCTTGGCTTATGGACAGAAGACTAGGACTTACGGTGCATTTGATAAAATTCACTAGAACAAATTCTCAAGTTATGCTTCTGAAAACATAAATTCATTATTAGTTTTAAGTATTGGCTTGATGTCTATGATTGGCCTACTGATCAGATGATCAGAGTACAGTAAGTTCACAGATTCCTTCAACCTTCTTATTTATAATAATGTTCATGACTTTTTAACTTAAATCCTCTATCTCTATGTAGTCCCTTTTTAAAAAATAATTCAGACAATTACTATACTGACTCTGTTGTCACAAATTACCTTTCTACCGATAGATCCATTAATAATTATGTATCAATGTATCGGCAGAGGGCAGAATGTTTCTGACTCTTTCTGAAAACACTAATGTTCTTGTGTATGATTTTTATTCCTAAGTTAAAAAAAAAAAAAGAGATTACCAAGAACAAAACCATTTTCATGGCACCACTGAGTCATTCTATATGTTGTCATGATTCTAGCTGAACCCAAAATAAAAAGTTCATGACTCACTTTGGAGAAATAAACTTGGTTTTAGTTAGGCTCAATTGATGTATTTTTTACAGCTTATCAACTTTTTGTAAGTTATTTAAAGCCAGAAAATATTTTTAGATTGTAAAAACTGTTTTGAGATAATAATGATTTACTGATAGAAATTCTACTATTTAACCCATAGCTGGGGAGGGAAAAGGGGGATTCATACATTTCCCAAGAGTATTTGCATATAATATAACAAATCTGGAATTAGAACATGGTTCTCTAAATTCCAATTCTGAGCTGTTATTCATTACACCATCTCCACATTCAAGCTTATAGTAGCTGGTATTCCCAAGTGGTCACCCATCTAGGTATTGATCAGGCTCAGTGTTGCTTAACTGTAGTGATTGTATGAGAATCAGTGTTTAAACATGATATGGCCATAAGCCAGTTTTAGTTAGAAGAGAAAATGCTAATTTCTTATTGAACTGATTAAGAATTTTAGAATCAATTTAAAACAAGTGACTCTTTAGTTCCTAATAAAAACATTTCTTTCTTTACCACCAGAAATAAAAATTAGAAAAGATTGAGATATAAGGTTATTTCCCCAGTTCATTTCATCGTAATGTCTTTTGATTCAAGATATTGTAATTTCTCTTGTGCAACTGAAAATAATTTTTTCTGTTCAAAATCAAAGAATGCAAATGCAATATAAATAGCTAATAAAGACAAATATTGTATTAATTCAAATTTGATCAAATATAATCAAAAGAGAAAAATGCCCAGTCTAATATATTCAAATATGCTTATTACCCTCACACACACACACAAAAATATATATATATATATATATATATATAAAAATTTTCACACATGCACATACACATTTTATTCACAGACATATATATTTCTGCACACACACACATATATGCACATTTTCATATGTACACACACACACACACACACACACACACATATACACATTTTCACACACACATGTATATTTACATGCACACACACACACACACACACACACACACACATATATATATATATATATATATATATATATATGCAGACACATTTTCATATGAACTTACATATATTTCCAAAATAAATAAATATATATGCACACACACATATATATATATATATATATATATATATATAATAGAACAATACATGCTGAACAGTTTAGAAGTGTTCTCTTTGAAAAAAGGATTTTACTTTGTATTGTACTGAATAACATTGTGTGTTATGGAAAACAATCAGAATTTTATTGTAGACTGAGTCATCCTCTATTGAGGATTTTATTTATTTGTTTTTTCTACAAGAATTATCTGCCTTGTTATTTTATTTTGTATTTTCTAATAAACTGCTCTGTGGAAAGGTGCACCTCGTCTCTGCAGAAGAGAGAACGAGAAATCAAAGGAAAACCTGGGAGTGGGTGAATGATAAAAAAGAAAAAGAAGTGGGGAGATACAGAGTCGGTTACAGAGAGAGAGTGAGGAAGAGAGTGAACAAGTGAGGAAGGAGAGGTTTATTTTGTTTTATTTTTTTAACTTAATCTTTACTATTTGTAATTATAATCATCCATTTTTACCTTCTTCTATTCTTTGCCCTGTTCAACATTATCCATTTTTTTTTTTTTTCAACTGTTGCTCTGAATTATACTTACTCTTGTGTACCAAATGCAAGCACCGGTATAATTAAATTATTTTATTTCAATTTCCACCCCACCACCTGGCATGGTGCATATTTGGTACGATGTACTTATTATTTTTTAATAATTTTCTTTACGGCATGATTATTTTCTTCAAGGTTTATTAAACTTGTATAAAATTTTCTGGTGGAATGTCTATTTTAACCAGCATGCTTATTTTATAATTTTAAAAATTCACACCAGCATAATTATTCCAGACAGCATTAGTCATCATCATCATTATCATCAGTCACATGACCAAGTGTCTGCATAGCTGAGCACCTGTCCAGCTTCCTCCATGGTTGTGTGCCAATGTCTGGATGATGTAAAGGATCTTCCCATTCACACAATGACATTACCAGCCCATTTTCTTTATTCTACCTGCCTCTTCTTTTGCTTAAAATGGTATCTTGTAGGATGGCAAAAAGAGTACTATTTCCTTAAAGCACATAAATTTTACAACCAGATCATCTTCCTGATACCAAAAGCATCTGGAAGTGTTTGTTTTTCTTTTGTCAGGATTTATTGATTGATTGATTTGTTTTTTATGGCTTATCAAACTTTTGCAGGTTATTGAAAGCCAGAAAATATATTTTAGATTGTTAGAGTTTTTTTGGAGATAATGATTTACTGATACAAGCTTTGATAATTAACCCATACCTGGGAGGAGAAGAAGTGAATACATACCTTTCTCAAGGGTATTTGTGCATAAGAACCTGACTGGAATTGGAACTCAGCTATACGGTTTCCAATTCCAAGCTGTTATTCATTACGCCTGCCGCACATCCAAACTTTCAGCATGTGGTATTCCTAAGCAGTCACCCTTCTAGATACTGACCAGATTTGACATTGCTTAACTTCAGTGATTGTATGAGAACCAATGTTTCAATGTAATATGGCTGTAAGCCTCTTTTGTCAGGCACATGTAATAGTTTTACAAGCACATCAAAACATTACACATTGTTTTTTTTATAAGCAACTCCTTTATGAGCAATGGTATTCAAATTTGACTAAATCTTAAGCAACAGAGAAAAAAATGTAAAATTAAACAAAAGGACAATATTTTGGTCATTGTATCCTTTAGTTATCTTCAGGTGTCTGTTGATCCAGGTAATCTTCAGGGAATTTCAAACTGAACACTTTATTAAATCTACAGGAATAAATTTTTCTTATTCTCTTATCCATGTCTGTGACACATTCTCTTGTTCTTATTTAGTAAGAGATACCCCTTGTACATGAAATGCAGCACAAGAACAATATACCCTTATAGCAAGAGAGCTTAGAAGAAAGTTTCATTCTTCCATTTTTATTTCCCCTATTATAGGCATTATTATATCCATGATATAACAACACTGCATTTCACAGACAGAACCAAATAGCTAAAAGAAATGATGAATATCTCAGAAAGAGTTTTATAGCACTAAAAGCAAAAAAAAGCACACAAAACTATATATACATATTTACATGTCCCACACAGTGATATCTACCTGGCAAGCAGAATGAAAAGATAGGGTCTTATATATAATATGGAGATTCTTCTGTGTTTCTGGAGAAGCTATGTTTAGGACTCCAAATTCAGGCTGAACAGATTCATCTACTATATTCCAAGCAAGGACATATTCCACAAACTGGAAACAGTGAGTTTTGGGTTTTCCCAAATTGACTACTGCTAGCCAGAATTTCTTTCTATATCCAGGGAAGATATATTCCCAGAGAGAAATGGTTCCATGTGCTTATAAGCTGTTGTGGGTGGCAAATTTAGCCTCACTTAAGGCCAAATGGCCCAAAACAAATAAACAACTGCTTTGCTTGACTACTATAAACTGAATGAATGACTGGCCATTTTCGTCACTGTATGAAGTGATGTCACTAAGCAGCCGTCACATGACTATCTTGACCAAAGGGAAATAATCACCTTTTGTATCCTTACACCCCTATAGCTTAAATAAAGAGTTTAGCTTGAAATTCACTGAAGAAGGCCTGAGGGCACAACTGCCAAAATGTGATAATAATGAGGATATTAGTTCAAATGTAAATAATGTAAACTCATCCCAGAAATTCAGACCAAAGTCAAACAAAGAGAGTTACTAAATAAGTTTTTATATTGTAGTGAAAAATTCTACTAATTCTATTAGTTTAGATTTTCATTTTTTTAATCGAATTCACCCCAAGCAAGGCAGTAAATCCACAAAGACACAAGTGGTTACTGGGTGTAGAACAATTAGAAAACAGAAACATTACTAAGGAAGAAGAACAAAAGATGAATAATCAGGGGACAGTATATAGCAATTGAAATTTCATTTAAATTTTTGAAGATTAAATTTAGCTGGAAAGCATGGAGCCAGAAGAGTTCCATGAGTGAGAAGTGGGAGAAAAGAAACAGTATAGAATTAACAGTTACATCTAGCCATTTCAATTGTAAAATGATGAGACCTTACTGCCAATCTAGTACTGCACTTAAATTCATAAAGACTAGGTATCACAGTGAAGAGCTCATCTGAACAATTACCATAAAAGTTGTTGTAATGTGTTTATTACTTAGTTGAATTCAGTCACTGTTAGAGTAAGTCCAGCTACAGATTACTATTCTATTTTCTCAGATGACTGCTGAATACAGTTTTTGATGTCTCCCCCAGTCTTACATTCTGTTCTCGCATTTATACATATGTGGGTGAGTCCATCTTGTTACTCAGGGTATAATGAAAGTATTTAGAGAAAAGGCACACAAAGGCAACTTCACAGAGATTGGAAAGTGACTGAAGCTTAGATGCCAGGTCAGGACCAATTAATATTACTGGTTCTTCTTCGGATTTTATCATGAAATGTATTTCTTTTCTATTTATTAGCTCCAAGTGTTGGAGAAATGTTCTTTAATTGTCGTTGGTCACCATGGTTGGGATCCATCTCCTTGTAGCTATCCGAGTGTCATGATTCCAAACATTCGACAATAACAATATCACATTTTTTAAATGAAATATAAAAAAAGGTTATTTTCTGGATTAAAAGTAGAAGCAGATAAAATATTTATATATTTATTTTACAAATAAAATGTTCAATTTTTCTTGCAGTGAAGTTTGTTTTATCAAGTGATTAAGTGCACCTGGGGCAGTGTGAAATGTGTGTACAGATTTAATTTATGACAGTCATCCTAATGTGTTTGTGAGTTCTTAGACAAAAGCTTAGTAAGTGGTTTCTGGTTAATCCCTTCTATTGTGTGCATGAACAAGGCCTTAGTCAGCATCTTCTGGCTGTTGTCTCTTCCATTGTGTGCATGTATGTGTATTGGCCTTCGAAATTGTTGTGAGCCTCAAGAAGCAGTAGGCTTCTATTTTTATATCCATAACATTATTCAAAATCTAATTTCTCATAGAGGTGTTAACTTTTTGAATACAAGATTTTCATTGGTTAGAAAAGAATTTCATACTTCCTCATAAAAATCTTTTTCTTGAATTTGTGGGAGCGGTGAAAGGAGTTATTATTGTTATTTTCTAAATAGTCTAAAAATAACACTCAGTAGTTTTCAAACTACTGTCTGCAAATATTTTGGCAGTATTTGTCAAATCAAACAAAAATAGTTACTGAACACTTTATCTAATACTGTATTCAAGAATTCTACCTTTTCATCTAGTTTCTTCTTCTGTGTGCCATGTCCCTTCATGATATTGGTGATCATGGCTCTCCACAATTTCCTCTCTTTTGTAGTTTTTAATAAATTCTGTCTTTTTGTTATCTCTCCTAAACACT